TTGATATCAATTTTAATTTTTGTTAATTCTGGATAACGTATAGATTGTGATCATAATAAATTTTCCAATCGTTGTAAATACGGCATTTTTCAAGAAATCGTTGTTTCACGATTATGTATCTATTCATCTATCAGTTATTTGTGTCGAATTTTATTCAGAGAATGAATGCGCTATTAGTATTATTGATTGAATCTGCATGAGCTGCCGGAAGTTAACTGACAAGATTAACATAATAGATACTTATTCTTCGCTGATTCAACTTACAAGGTTTTATCGCAAAATAAACGTTTGTAGTTGTACATTGTGTTTGCCAAATATACTGACATAATGAACATGAATTGTTAACACAATAAAAAAATTAACATAAAGAGAAATTATATTCACTATATTTACATTAATGCAAAATTAAAATATTTCTTCAGATATATTCTAATAAATCAAAATCTATTTTATAAAAAAAATCGCAGTATAAAATCGAAATGTTTTTAGAAATTTGTTTTAATTTAAAGCTACAACTTTGTAGACTACATTCTAATGTAAACAATATTTTGATTATATTCCAAAATATTATATTGTGATAAAAAAGTCATATATATTTAGAATTTTAAAAAGAAAGAGAGTTTTGCACGATAATCCGAGATCTGCCAAATGATATTTTGCCGAGTCCCGCTTCTAGTTTTCGTGGTCGGAAAGACATTCGCGCATAATGGGATACTTCGCAGCCGTAAAGCGTTTCAACGGTAATGCGAAGTTCAACACGGCACTAAGTGCGTGTCCGCATCTGAAATCTCTGTAGCACGTCTTGTTTGTAGAAACAGCAAACATAAACGCGCTGCACGCGGGCGCGCGAAGTCTCGCTGTGTCGCGATCGCACGCGGACACGCTTTCTGTTTTTACGTCGCCTTTGGAACAGACTTTGTTACGCCGCTCGGCCGAATAATAATTGCCACGACTTTCCATTTCCAATTTGAACATAATGCTCACTTGTTTGCCAATAATGCAGGAAAAAGAAATTACCGAGAGAGCCCTCGAGAGCTCCCTCTCTCCTTGCTTTTTCTTATCACTTTTGTTCTCTTTATTCATCCATGGCTTCAGATTATAATTTTATCATGTTGATGCTCTGCATTTTATATTTTCTTTCTTTTAAATTCCTTGCAATCTTATTCATACGTTAAAATTATTTTGTCGCGCTCCGAAATCTCACATTTAGTTCTATTTGTTTTTAGCATAAATTAATCGACATTAAAAAAATAATTGTTATACATATTATTCAAATAATTATTTGTATTAAATATTAACTACAATAATGATTATAAATTAATTATGAATCACTATATCAGTCTTCATTATCTTTCTTCATTTATTAGTGCGTATAGATTTAATCTTATGCTTTTTAGTATTTTAAGAAGATTTTTTACTTTAGAAATTTGCAATAACGTCCATTCTGTTTTATTATCTTCTTGTCCTGTTCCGCACATTGCTCTATTCTCTGTTTTTCCTTGTATTCCGGTTAGCAACTAGCCATACACTGGCTAAGCGATCACCTATCGATCGTACATGTCGAATCGTTGTTTAGATTTATCAGCGAATCAATTGGCCGATTCTGAGAACACGAACATGGCCAACACGCGTGAACGTCACGCTTCTAGGGCGCCGATAAATTGAACCTTGTACCAATATCGAATATGCATTGTAATAAAGATCGATAATGTCAATTCGTTGAATCACATTCTGATCTCGGCAAATCAAGCCAGAACTGTTTGCATTATCGTAGTCCACTTTATCTTCGAATTTGTTATTCACGCGAAGACAAATGAATTAAGTTCAAGAAAGATTGAAAAAAATCAAAATGTTAAAATTGAAAGTATTCACAGAATTAATTCCAAGATACAGTATAATTAAAAATACATTTATTATAAATCCAGGGTAAAAAAATATCATTTATCTTCGTCGCTCACTGAATTCACAAAGTCAAAATACGTGCTGCGGTTAAGGAAGCGTAGAAACTTTCGAACGAGACCGTGTGATCGTTGCTGTGTGAATATACCAGGTAGAAGTCTTAAAGTGGATGCAGGTAGCGGTGCTAAATAGGGGTTGGTAAGCACCCCGTGGAAAACGCCGGGACGACCGCTTTCAAGTTTCTCTCCGGTATGACGAAGAATACCTTGAAGTTTCGTGCAGGGCAGTGCTCTGGGTAGAGGGTCCATAAAGATGCGCATATACGTGAGTGAGAAGAGCAGTTCTCTATCAGTCACGGCACGGTGTGTCAGCATCGCTGGGCCCGTCCTTCCTCTTGTCCCTGCACGCCGTGTGTATTCGCGTACACGCGCATTGCACCGCCTACGCTATCGCGAATAATACCGCACGCGTATCAACGCAGATATTCGTCATGCATATTGTCTGTCGCATCGTCTCGCGAGTGTCCATTCTCGGGCTGGCTGTTTTTTAGGCCTTAAGAATCAACTTGTGAAATTTCTTCAAAAAAAAAATTGAATGAGCAAAGGTACGGAAAGAATTTGTTATTATTGATTTTTGAACCTTGTTCGGGTTAGATATTTTGAAATGTAATATATATTCCGGTTATTTCATATTGAAAGAGCCTCTATGAATCCGAAAAGAGTCGACGAACGGCAATCTGCCGACCTGACGACCTGACGAGTCCGATGGACGTGTACGGCATCGTATAGGGGGAGTATTAGGTGCGCTTGGTTGTGTGTGTATACAAATACACGTTCAACGAAAGACCGGTCTAGCCAGGAAGAGGAAAAGAGATAAAAATAGAAACTTGGCGGAGAGACAGAGTGAGAGAGAAGGAGCAGCCGGATAGAGAACAGCTTAAGCCTTTTCCACACTTCGCAGTTAAGATCACGAACAAATTCATAGAAGTAAAAATTGCGATCAAAAGATTAATTTTGGATTATTAACTAATTTTTAATTAGGAATTTATCACTTTTACGATAGCGTTAATTATGATATAAATAAAGAAGGGAATGAAAATCTAATCGAGAAATTTATATAATACCCGATATATCTTTGCACGATATATCTTTAAAGCATATTTCTATTTTAAAGACATATCGCACAATGTGCGCAAGTAAATCGTTTAATCTCACTTCTTCGAGCCTCTCTTTTACGATCGCGGCTTGTGACGTCTGCTCTGGAAGTGTAGAATTAAGCATTCTGGAATTAAATTGAAATCGTGCCTCCAACGCGCGATGCGAGCGGGCCTTTACGCAGAGCCTCGAGCGAGACGGCACGACGGAGCGCGCGGTGTGCGTCGTGGTGGCGCAGGTGGTAGTGGTGGTAAATGGTGGCCGCGCGCGGGTGTGCGTGCCGCGGTGCGGAGCACGACGCAGGAAAGTTAGTGGGGAACAGCAGTCTCTATAGGCCTCTACGGCACACGGGCAACGCGCGAACCGCGCGCGATCGGTTCACGACGGTGAGGTGGTGGTAGAGAGGCACGGCGAGGTGGCACGTTAGTAGTGCCCAGAGAAGCGGTGCTCGCTTGGCCGGTACGTAGCGCGCGCGAGTCTATCTCGGGCCTTCGAGAAGCGAGCGAGCGAGCGAGCGATTCCGGGCTCTGTCCTCGTTGCCGATCGCGTCCTCGTCGCGGCGATTCTCCCTCGCGAGCAGATTCCCAGTGGAAATACGCGGAAAACGTCGTCTTTCTTATCCTTCGCAAAGGTTGCGCAATCTGCGCTCGCGTCTTTGTCCTTCAACATGGGTTAAAGCGTGTTTTTCGCGAGTGTAATTATTTGTCAGGTATTAGTGACGTGACGTGACGTGACGTGACGTGACTGTTTCTCGAAGAGGCGTGTAAGTGAGATTCTGGCATCGACCTGGTCGTCCTTCGTTTTCTCAAGCCGGGGAAAGAGGAAGAGAGACGCAGTGGCTGAGAGAAAGAGAGAGAGAAAGAAAGAGAGAGAGAGAGAGAGGAGCGTATTGTATTCGAAGTTGTCGGTATTCTAAAGTCGTCTGCTCGCAGACTGCGCTCGTGTTCAGGGCGAATGAACTGCGCACGCCGATGATAGTTCTTCGGAGCGCGGCGATGCGCGAGTAATGAAGGAGCTACGTGATCGACCGAGCACGACCGGCAGTGATAGAGAGAGAGGAGAAAGAAAGAGCGAGAGAGAAATACGTATATTCAACCTCGACCTCCAAGTGTCGAGTGTGTGTAGTAGCGTGCGGCACAACGACGTTGTCGTCACGTCACGCGTTTAGACGGGTGATTCGACAATCCAGGACGGCAATGTCGCGATAAGGAGCAATTTGGCGACGGGACGAGGGGAGAGTTTTCTTTCTAGTATTATTTCGTAAGGCTGCAACACTGGAAACGGAGTACCTTGTAACTTACCAAATAGCAAATCTATTAACCGGCGTGCAATAATTCCCTCACGATTTGATTAACGAACTTACGAAGCTCAACCTCGCAATAGGAAGATTCCGAATGCATTCAAGTGTCATCGAGAATTTCGCAAGCATCAAAGCGTGTCGCATACTCAATGGACCGATCGTTTCGTAATCAATCTCTCTGAAAACGCTTCTACTGGAAGGAATCTTCGATATTACCCGCGCGGATTCAGGACTTACGCGCTTCCAGGATTGGAGCCCCGGCGATCGATTTCGGCGCATCCGGAGCATCGAACGCGCAACAAGTTGAGGAGAGCACGTGGTGGACATGATGTGCGCGCGGGTGAATTTGATTGAAGTATCCGTCCTTACGTAAGACTCGGTGACGCGCGCCGCGGCGATAACTTTTGGTCGTTGTCGTTCGACATCATCACTGATAAGCAGGAGAGTCTACGAGCGAGCAGACAGAGTGGTCAGTCGACGATCGCGATCCGCGACGCGAACATATCCCGCGGAAATTCTCGCGAACAGCTCGATCACCGTCCGCTTATAATCGCATTCTGAACATCGATTTTCCGCAGCGGCGAACTCGCCGGTCGAGTTTTGCGCTCCGAGAAATTTCGGACATCGGATCTTCTACATTCGAAGCATCGCAGATCTGTGATGTGCAGGCGGCGTTACTTAAAGTGCTGGTGATAATATAAAAGTGGCGGCGGATCGGCGGTGTGAGGATATCCTTGAAGAGTTCTTGTCGCGAGCAAAAAGAGAAAAGCTGCAAAAGGAGAATCCGGAAGAGCTGTCTTAATTATCAGTGCGGCGCGGCGCCAAGCGGCTTTGAATGACCTTCGTATTTTGTGGCTTCGTCTTCTACTCGTCCGACGAGAAGACGAGACAAATGCCGGTCGCTTCGGAGGGCTGGATGCCCCACCCGGGCGCCAAGATAACCAGTTCCATCACCACCGTCAAGGGTGCCACCATACAGAGCACAACGACGGCCTGGATGTCGCCCTACAGTAGGACGGCGCCGCCGGATCGTAGTGGGCCTAACAACAACAACAATAATAATAATAACAATAACGGTGTAGTTATACTGGACGGATGCAGGCCACCGGCGGCCACGACGGCCAGAAGGTTCTTCAGGTGGTTCAGCAGACTGGGACAACCGCCGATGGGAAAGTCAGGTGAGGAAACTAGAATGGAAAATCCGAAGATAATTGCGGTGACTTGAAAAGCTATTCGCAAAGATTTCTTTTTGCAATAATGATAAGAACGTCTGATTTTTGAAGATATTTAAAGCTGAATCTAAAAATAGATTGTTGGCACTTGTTGGCATAACGCTCTGTTAAACTCTTTGATCTTGAATAACTTTGCAGTGAGATCATCTAGTATTTGATTTAGTCTTCATTGTTCTAGTGATCTCTTTAGAGAACAATATATATTTATTATTTATATCGATATTTATATTAAATTTATCTTGAGTTTTTCATACGCGAGAATAAATAATTAATAAATATTTGTTCTTCTTTAAACTTTAATTCTTGAAGGGTTGAAGATTGAAAAGAATGATGCAATGCTTCATCAATGTGACTTGACGTCACGTCATCAATATACAGACAACTTGATATCACGAACATACACTTTTTAATTCAAATTTTTTTCTATTTTAAACATGATTTATATATGATTTAAATATGATATCTCTCTAATTATACAATTTATGTAATTTGGATGTCTTTAATTATATAATTTAATTCAATTAAATTATCTGAAAAATCTCAAAGAGTTAAAGAACAATAGTTATCAAGTTTTTGAATCTTTCACTTTCTTTAATAAGCTTTTTATGTTCAGAGATACATTTCTGTTTTTTTTTTTTAAAGAATTTGTAATTTAAAAGACGCGAGAACTTGAAAAGTATTAATTTTCTCATTTATTTATCTACATATTTAGTCTTCCATTCATACATATGATATACGCGGGATAGCCGGTGTAATTAGCAACTTATATATCATACGTTATCATCAGAAATCTTGTTGAAAACTGTTAAATATGGATGTACCGTAATGGAGCGTGGTGTTATATATACACTATGATTATAAGATTCGCGACAAACCGGTAGAGCAACTCGCGATTGTTTCGAATCACATAGATCGAGCTCAAGTCTCTCTCCCTGTCTCTCTCTCCTTCATCTATGTGTTACTGTTAGTCATCGCAGGTGCATCGTATGTGTGCGCGGTAGTTGCCGTTAATAAAAAGAATGTGTTTGCGCGTGAGGCGAATACGCACTCGTAGTAGTAATGGATAATTGAGGAGAAGCGCGAGGAGAGTATATATATATATATATTTGTATATATATATATTTGTATATATATATTTGTATATATATATATATATATATGTACATTTGCGAGCGTAGTGCAGTGCGCGTTAACGGTTCTTCTCTTACATGGATTTCTGCTTTTCATAATACGTATACACACGGTCGTCATTGCTGATGTTGTTTCGTCCATATGGCGTCGAACAAAGAAACCGGCAGATCTAAAACGAGTGACAAATGAGTACTTCGGTTGAACAGGTTTCATGTAGCGCGATGTACCAGGTGTTTGAACCTTATAAATCTATACTGCGGACCTGACGGACCCCAAGAGTGTATTTCTCATTTTGATACCAGTTGTGCATGAAATGACATGAAATACTTCACGCTTTTCGCTATAAAAATTGAAATTTCCACTTTGATGTTTATTATGAAAATAATGCTGCCTCGTTTTTAATTTTTAATGAAAATCACATTTAAATTAATATTTGTATATCTTATTAGTGAATCTCTCGCGCATCTTTCGTGTCTCGCGAAGTATAAAATTAATAAAGATGAAAATACGAAACTCTAATTTCTCTAATTTTGTTTTCATACGATGAAGATATTTGGTGCATTTAACTTTTGGATCTACGTCTTTAAAAAACTTTGAGTTTATAAAATATTAATGTTCAGATTGTTATCGCATTCAGGTTTGCCATTTTATTTGTTAATTTGCTCTTAGAAATCGCGCCGAGCAACGCGACTCTCGCGAAATGTGTATCGAACGACGTATTAACAAGCATTTCGCATTTGTACAGCTCACGGGGAATAATAATTGATATCGTATATCTAACGCGCCTCACGTTATTCAGAAGTTCCGCTGGGCGGTGAAAGAAATCGCCTAATTAAATTTTATCGACAAAGCGTAAAATGAGGACTCCGCCACCGACGGAGGCATTAAAATTCGCACAAAGCCGCTGTTTCCTCGGGCGGAACTGAGTATACGTATAATACACGTGCCACATTCGAGACATTGATTTTACCGCGCGCTTCGCTGAGCACCTTCGAAAATTAGGGTCGAATCTATACCCAAATAATTATCCATATTTAGGAAACAAGAAGCGTGGTTTGTGTTTACAATTTTCTGCTGGCAAATATTCCAGTGAGATTTTTTATTTTAGTTTTAAAATGATGTTTGAAACTTTTTTCTTTTCCAAGTGATGTTTTGAGATGACGCTCAATTTATAAATGACAAAAAGATGTGCGTAATAATGATAAATTTTAAATAAAAATAAGTTTTTAAGTTGATTTTGAAAAATATCAGTTTTTCTAACTGCTGACATTTTCAATTTAATATGCTTTACTAATCTTGAAAGATCAAACTTACGATGTTCTCTAGATGTGTATTTCGTAGCTTAAATAGGTCGTGCACGTGACGAAACAAATCGTGCGAGTAGGACTCGATAAGTCGACCCACACGAGCTGAGTTGAGTGTGTTATAATCGGTCTAACGTGAATCAGGCGATTTCGAATGTCGCAACAACAACTTTGTAAACTCTGGTGTTTATCAAAAACGCAATAGGAATTTTCCTATGCGAGAATTGACACTCTCCGTTAAACGACACTCCATTAGTTAAACTTCTTAATCAGCTTATGAATTAGGAAATTAAATTAAGAAATGTTCTGTGGTCCAACCAGTTGCAAATATATTTTTCAGAGAGAAAGTCTCTTAAGAGAACAGTTGGCTTCTGGAAATATATGATAATGTATAATTTCTGCCTGCATTTTTTATGAAATTAATATTTATATCCATTTAACATTAAATCTGTATTTTAATTAATAATTGCTGATTGTGAGATAGTAATAATCAATTAATAATCACATTAATTTAAATAGGATTCCAACAGAAAATACAGTCTTAGAAAGAATCCACAAATTGCACAAGTTTAAATCTCATTAATAGGATTTCTTTATACTTTATGTAAGAGTTGATATAATATAGTTTTCATGTCTCTTATAAAATAATCCTAACGCAACTTTCTTTTGCTCGATTTATTGAAATCCGGGAATTCATATTTCACATTCGTTAACAAGCCGCATATTCGCCAGATTGGCCTTCTCTCGCGATGCGACGCGGCGCAGCGCGATAACTGGGCCGGAAAGAGGATGAACCGTAAACTCGATAAATAAACATTAGACTCGACGGTAAAACCAGGCCGCGTCGCCGTCGGCAGCGGCATTCGCAATAATAATCGTCGCTCCGTCTTCTTCGCGTGAAAAGAGATTCACGTCGGCGTAACGTCGCGTCGCGGTACCGAGATGGATGGGTTGGGTGGCGGAATCTTCCTTCGGAGAGTTCGGGACGCGTGAACGGGATAATGTTCTGCTGGGTGGAATTGTAGGATCTTCACGCTAGCCGACGCCCGCGCGACGAAGATCGGTATGCGTTAAAAGTAGGCTGCGGTCGGCCGTGAGTATGAAACAATCCTCTGGTTTCAGGATCTCGATTTTAAGATAACATATATACGTACTTTGCGGTTTTCAGTAAGTTAAAGCAACAAAAGAGATGTGAAAATTTATTACAGTGATGAGAGGAGACAATAAAAATCAGACAATTTTGTTTTATAAAAACCTGAAAATTTATAATTTTATTATAACGTGTATATTGTACAAAGTATTATATATAAAAAATTACATTGAATAGATTTATATTCTGTAAACAATGTGTGCTTTTTCTAAGATTGCATTTTCTGTTAGAGTTTCTTCAAATAAAGTTTGGCGATACTTTCATTCAATTCGCACAAGATTCAAAGAATCGCTTTAGCGTTATTTTATTATATATTTCGTTATTATATTTTTATTCTCACGCGTATACATTTATTCTGAAAAACTTATCTTTGAGTATCTATAGCGATTGTTAGATCGAACGGAAACGGTCGGCAATGTAATTAAGCACGTTCCATTCGCCGCTCGTTGTCACCTGTCGGCTGCCATTCTCACCTGTCTACCGACCACCGATCTAACTAACCCCTCGCTGTTGAAATGGGCTATCGAGTTGTATTTTGAAATTATTTATCGCATTTCCGTGACCCGAACTGTTTCATAATCTTCACATTGCACAAGCGCATTTTGATTGATAGTAATATTGTTGTTACATATTTAAAAATTAAATGTAACGCTCAATAGTTGAAAGCATATTCGTAGGAATCAAAGAAAATAGTTATTTATTGTAATTCTGTGATCTATACATTAAATTTTTGTTAAACTATATATTACTTATTTTGAATTCTTTGTAGAATCTTGATTTTTCAAGATTGCAATTTTCAATGTTAAATTATTCTGTCGTAGAAAAAGAATTATAATTAATTATTAATACACAAACAAAATTCCTCATCTGAACAATATAAATTATATATATATAATTTATATGTATATATACTAAACAATAATATTTGTTATTCTTAAATTCTTATTTTGATTGTGCTACGAACGAACACATAATACCACAGTGCCGCAATTCGAGGTCGATGTCGCAGTGTTGCCGAACTTTTCGTCACTCTGTCGTAACGTTTCGAAATTCTGGTAACGTGCCAACCGATGACATACACCACAGATAGTCGTTGCTTACGCGCGTATGTGTGCGCACGCGAGCTTTCACGAGAAAGCGGCCGATTTGTATGATAAATCGCGTAAGTGATCCCTGTCGGTGTTAACGCAAGCGGGCCTCGTACAGAAATACGATGCACAGGAGACTTTTTAATGACGCTGTGTTGTGCAATTCCGGGCTCATTCGACTCATAAGAGGCGATGGCGTAGGCGAGGTCACGTGCAATCGCCGCGACCTGTCTCGCGTGCGACGTGGGAGCGCAGCGGTTCGATTCTCATCGC